AGAAAGGCTTTAGGTCCTCCAACGGCCCTCATGCCAGGCGCAGGCCAGCCTCACCGCTCACTGTACCCCCCACCCGGCCCCTCACCCCTATGACCAGAAATCAACCGGGGAGAAGAGATAAGTAAACATAACCTTGCAGGACTGATATGAGGCTGTGATAAGTGCAATCTCAAGTTCATTTTTTTAAAGAGAGATAGACAAAGCAACCCTGGCTGGTGTGGCTCAGTGGATTGAGTACCAACCTGTGAACCACAGTCCCCAGTTTGATTCCCAGCCAGGGCACATGCCTGGGTTGTGGGCCAGGCCCCCAGTAGAGGGCGCATGAGAGGCAACCACATGTTGATGTTTCCCTCGCTCTCATTCTCTCTCCTTTCCCCTCTCTCTCTAAAAGTAAATAAACTAAAAAATCTTTTTTTAAAAAAGAACCCAGGCCTGTTGTCTTACACAAGGCCTCTCAATGTGGGGGTGCTACTGTTTCTGCGCGATTAAAGTCGGGGTACACGTCTCTGCCTGCAAGGACACGGACGAGATGCTGTGTCCTTCTCAGATCCGCCCACCTGGGAGCACAGGGTGTCCCGCCCCCCAGCACCCCTGACCTTGGTTTTGCTCCCACAGGTTGTCACGGAGGAGAGAGTTCTGCACAAAGACTGCGTCCTCTCCCCTTCCCCCACGGGCCGGCAGCCACACCCTCCCTGGGGAGGCCTGGGGCTCCTGAGTCCTCCTGGGCCCAGGGCAGAGAGCCCCAGAGAGAACAGGCCATGGTCTACCTCGGCCATCTGCAACCTCGTTCACCTCGTGGCACTCAAACTAATCACTAAAATTCTGCGGCACACCAGAAAACATGGTGTGTTGTTTTTTTTTGCCAGTTTGACAAAAAATAAAATAGGTATACTTTTGATTCATTCACACTAGTTGACTATTGTGTTGGCTGCTGTCATTTTTAAATTTGACCATCTGAAGGAAAAGAGGCCAGTGCCCCGACTGCAGAGTCAGGTATTGCATGTTTCAAACATTCTTGCCCTGGCCCAGCAGCTCAGTTAATTAGAGCATCATCTCAATACACCAAGGTTGCAGGTTTGATCCCTGGTCAGGGCACATGTACGAGCAAACAGTGAATACATAAATAAGTGGAACAACACATTGATGTGTCTGTCTGTCTGTCTCTCTCTCCATCCTACTTTCCTTGCTCTCTCTAAAATCAATCAATTAAAAAAAATCTTGCATCACACCGGTTGAAAACCGCTGCTGTGCACTGTGGAAGCATGTCCCGGTTTTACTCAGGAGCTTCCCACAGGACTCTCACCCACTTCCACAGGAAACAGAAGTGACTGCTTCCTTGAAGCATTGGCACCTGGTCTGAAGTCACCCATCCCCACGGGAGCCAGGAGCCACCTCAGTGTCAGGACATGCCTTAGAGTTACCTGGTTCTCATAGGCCTCCTGAGGGTGGGGTCCTTCTCTCACCCCATTGGGTGGATGGGCAATTGGGGCCCAGAGAGGTCAACAGCTTGCCTAAGGGTGCACAGGAGGGAGGCAGCAGGGCTGGGACTTGAACCCCCGCCCCTTTGAACGTCTGTGTCCAGGGCTCTGCACCAGGCTGTGGGTTCTCCCTGGAGTCTCACAGCGGACCAGGGCAGCGGGCAGGGCCGACCACAGGTCCTCAGTCATTTGCGGATGGAGGAAACAAGGCCCCGAGAGGGGATTCGCTGTGACCAAAGCTGCCATCCTGGGACCCGCCCCAGAAAAGCCTGAGTCCTGGAGTCCTGCCCTTGCCACCGCTGCGAGCTGCTCAAGGGACCGAGGCCAAGGAGGCCAAGGGCGATCTGCCAAGACGGATGGGCAGAAGGAAGGACGACCCAGTGCCTGTCCCTTGTACATCTCCTTCACCTTGGCCACCAGGCCTGGAGCAGGGAGACCCTGCCTCCGAGCAGGGTAATCAGACTCACCCTGACTCTCAACCCGCACCGCCCCCGACCCCTTGCCTGCCGAGGCAGCTGCCACGCCCTCTGCTTCTCTCCCCTGAGGAGACAACCATCCCGTCCCTGGCATCCTCCCTGTCACCGCCATTATCGAGGCAGCTGCAGTTTAGGAGGAAGTGACTGGCGTCTCAGGGGAAACCCCTGCCCAACCCCGCCAACCTGAACAGCTGGTTTCTTGAACCCTGCTCTCAGAGGCCAGCCCAGAATGACAGCTTTCTGATGGTCATCAGAATCCTGGGGCTGGGTGAGGAGCTGGCCTGGATTCTTCCCGTGGTGGGCGGACAAGAGAAAAAAAGACAAAGGGAAGAGGAGAAGGTCCACTTCTTATCTGCTCTGCAAATCCTGCATCAGCTCACCTCTTCCATGAAGCCCACCCAGATCACCCCAGTGTCCTCCAAACTCTCAACAACCTAGGAAAGTGCTTGCTTCCGCTGTACCCACAGAGGCAAACGACTCGTGCCTTCTCTTGTACTGTACAAACGTGGGGGGGCATCATTTTCCTCCACGGCACTGACCAGCCTCTAACAGACTACACACTTTACTGACCCATCTGCTTTCTTTTTGACATCGCTCCCCCACCCCCCTAAAAAAAACAAATGCAAGTTCCATGAAGACAGGCCTTTTGCCTCTTTGTCTCACTGGTACATCCCAGCACCTAGAACAGTGCCTGGCACACAGTAGGTGCTCAGAGAACATCACTCATCCTTTCCTCCCTCCTCAGCCACATGGGGCAGATTATGAATCAGACAGACACCACCTCTATCCTCAAGGAGCGGCCCCACCACCGTGGCGACGGACGGCTCCAGAGGCCTGCGTGCCCCCACCTACTTCTTCCCCAAAGGTCCCAGCCCCTCGCCTCCCTCCCCTCCACTCACCGTCCTTTGCTTCCATGTCTTTCTCTGGACAGAGCGCACACACTGGGAATTGGGCCTTTCGCGGTTTCGTGAGATGGGACATCCCGGTGTCTTTGTCCGTGAGCACGTTCTCAGCCTGCCTGAGGACTTGCTTTCTTCATCTCTAGGAGTGGCCCCCACATCCCCCTGAAGGGTCGTGGGTCATTGGGATATGCTGAAAGGGTCTGGCCACTGTGGGCACATGCCGGCACTGTTCCTGCGGTGTTTGCTGTGTCTTGAAGCATGCGGGCTGCTTCTCCTGACAGGGAATCGGGGACCCCCTGGTGCTCCAGGCTGGCGCCCTGGGGCCCCGCTCGAGGTCCCAGCACCCCGATCCAGTGCTTGGTTCCAGGCGTTCTGTGTGGCGTCTGTGGCTGTCACAAATCCGGGACCCAGACTGGTAACCGTTGTTTCAAATCCGGCACTGGCGAGGGGAGGTCATGGGCACCGCGCTCGCTCTGCAGGCAGGGGGTGCCTGCCTCGTTTCCGGGGGAATCTAGAAATGTGTCTCCAAATAGTTCCGCCTCTAGGAATTCACTACCTCTAGGAAAAGACTGGTGTTCCTGGATGCTGACACCGTTATTTACTATACCAAACAAATCAGAGGCGACCTCATTGTTCGGCAGGACGGATTGGCCAGATAAAGCACGGTATGCTGCCATTACAATGATGTCGGCGTGCCCTGGCTGGTGTGGCTCAGTGGGTTGGAGTGCTGTCCCCTGCACCAAAGGGTTGCAGGTTCGATCCCCGGTCAGGGCACATGTGTAGGTTGCGGGTTGGATCCTCAGCTGCAGCGCGTGTGGGAGGCAACGGATCGATGTTTGTCTCTCACGTTGATATTTCTCTCCTCTCTCTCTAAAAATGCAATGAAAAATATGTCCTCGGTGAGGAGCAAAAAGAAAAAAGATGTTGTGGAGCAAGAAGAGTGTGGGAAGATGCTTATGAAATACTAAATAAATAAAGCAGGCCATAAATCAGTGTTACGGTCACGCTCTCTCACTAGTGCGATTTGTAGGTGGTTACAGGTGCCTTTTGGTTTCTTCTTCGTACTTTTCTGGGGGGGTTCCCCCAAAATCTCTACCATATACTCATAGTAACTTTTTCTAAAAGAAAAAATAGAAAGCCAGATTTGTTCGGACCAAATATGGACTAAGCATAGATTTAACTCGAATTCTAGAGTTAGCTCAAGTCAAGATCCCACACATGAACCAACAGGTCATTCCCAGTCATCGCTCAGTGACCCTGTGAGAAACTCACAAACTCTTCTTACAACTTTTTATACAACTTTTCCTTGATACCCTCTTCTTTGGGAATAACTTGAGATTTACAGAAAAGTTGCAAAAATAGTACAGAGTCCCTGCGTACCCTCCCATCATTTATTTTTATATCGGGAGAGAGAGAAACATGAAATTGTTGTTCCACGTATTCGTGCATTCATTGGCAGACTCTTGTACGTGCCCTGACCAGGGATCGAACCTGCAGCCTTCATGTATCAGGGCCATGCTCTAACCAACTGAGCTACCTACCAGGCCAGGGCTACCTCCATATTGTTAACATCTTACATAAGCAGCGTGTATTGGCCACAACTAAGAAACCCACGTGGGTGGGCCTGCAGCTATTAACTAAACTTCAGGCCGTTTAGGCTTCGCCACCCTCCCCACTGACCTGCTCCTGTTCCACAGTGCAGTCTCCGCTGCGGCTGGGGCGGGCTCTCAGCCTCCCCTGGCTCTGCAGGTGCCCTGAGAGAAGAATTCTGCAACCACACAAAAAAAAGGGCTCATGCTAACGACGATGATGTCCATTTACGTCTGGGAATGGCTCCGTTTTCTATCTCGGCGGGAGGCACACGCATCACCTTTTCTTCTCCATTCAAGGGAACAAGGCGGACCAGGCACTGCGGTCCCGGAGACGGGTCCTGCAACGGTGCGGCGCCCTCGCCCCACCCACTGCCCCTCGGTCGCTGCGCCCACCTCTGTCCCTCTCCCGGGCCAGCCTGGGCCGTGGGTACCGTCGCTGCTGCTTGGGCGCGCGCGCGCACACGGGCGGCACCTGGATCGGCTGCTGGGTAACCTGCCGCGACGGCCCCGCCCCTGCCCCTGCCCCGGTCTTATTAAAAGCCAGCCCGCCTCCGAGCGCCTGATTCCCGCCGCAGCCGCCCGGCCAGGAGCCCCCCGCCACGAGCATGGCCTGGAACACCAACCTCCGCTGGCGGCTGCCGCTCACGTGCCTGCTGCTGCAGGCGGCCATGGTGGTCCTCTTCGGCGTGTTCGTGCGCTACGACCAGGATTCCGACGCCCACTGGATGGAGAAGAAGGGAAGCCGGAACGTCTCCGGCGGCGACATGGACAATGAATTCTACTACCGCTACCCCAGTAAGTCCCGCCGCCCCGGCAGGCCCACCTGCCGCACGCCCAGCCCGTCCTCCTCTGACCCCGCGCCTGGCGGCTGAGAACGAGGGCGACGGCGGGAGGAGATGCTTGGCACAGCCTCTGCCCCCCTTCGTCCCCCGTACGCGGGTGCTTGCGCGTCCCCGGGCACCACGCTGGAGAAACGGCCAGAAGTGCAAAGTCCTTCCACCACCCTCCCCCGCCCGTGAACAAGTAATATGGGACCTCACCCACCTGGGGAGCTCATCCGCGGGCCACCACCTCCCCGTCGGAGAGTCCCCAGCGATGTCCTCAAAGAGTCCCATCTTAGCCACCAGCCAGTGGCGGACCGAGGCTCCCTTGTCCGTCCAGCTGTCCCATACTGTCCTTGTCGAGGGCCGCAGGGACTCGTGTGGACCTGCCCAAACTGCTGCCCGGAGAGGGGTGTGGGGCCCTCTTTGGCTGGGAGAGGGAGAAGGGGCACCGCCGAATTCTCGGGATCCAAGTGCTGTGATTAAGAGCGTGCCTGGGATCGCCAGACCTGACTTCTCTCCTGGCTCCGCCGCTCACCTGGGGGTGGCTCCATTGCCAACCTTGCTGAAACTCTGTCCTTACCTGTGGAATGAAAATAACAGGGACCTACCTGCCTTACGGGGGTGGAGCGAGGCCGGTAGGGGACAGGGCTGGGCATGGAACCCTCACTTCACGAGGGACAATTACTAGAAAGGCGCTGAACACAGATGCCCTAGGACTCAGGGGTGGGAAGAACTGCCCCGACCCTGGGTCACACAGGCCCCCGGAGTCCTGCCTGTGGGCACCAATGCTGACCGCCAGGCTTGCACACGGGCTGGCACTGCCGGGCCTGTGGGGCCATGGCCTCATCTGGGGGGACACAGCCTGAAGGAGAAGCAGCCAACCTGCACCTCGCTCAGATTCAGCTCCATTGAACGAGCGACCAGCTTTCCCACCAGCAGAGGGCGGTGTGACCTGGGCTGTGGAATCGCACAGCTCTGGGGCCATGACTGTGAGACTCCCTACACCCATCTGCAAACTGGGGGTGTCACTTCATGCACAGGATCTCCAGAAAGACGGAAGGTGGCTGGTGCCTGGTAGGACAGTGAGAGGCCAGTAAATGCTGGCCTTGCGATTCCTCATGAGGGAGTGAGCGCTCTGTCGCTGGAGGTATTTAAGTGGAGGCCCAGCATCTCTTTAGAGATGTAACCAAGGCACATCTCCCTGCATCTCTTTAGAGATGTAACCAAGGCACATCTCCCTGCTATTCACCTTGAATAGCATTTCAATGCCTTCAGGCTGTCCCCACTTACCCGTGCTTTTTGCATGCGGAGAGCTGTCAGGAATGGCATGTGCTTGGTCCCATGTTGTGGTGCAGAAAATGGAAGTTAGGGATTTGCCTAAAGTGCTCAGCCAGTCTCCGGCACCCACAGGGGTGGAGCCAGGCCCTCCCCCCACAGCCCACCTGCTTTCCAGGGCCTCCTGTGGCATTGCCAGCCCCTGACCGCATCCCCAGGAGATTGTGCAGGGACGGCATGGGCCTGGGGACGGCCCCAAGGCGTGGGAGAGGCGGGAGCTGCTGTGGCCTATCAACAGCTGCGTGAGAAACTTTGTTTCAGATTTCGGAGATTTCTGAGAGTCATCTTGGCCGGGAAGAGTGAGCTTCAAAGCAGGTGGGGGGACCTGGACAGTGAGCACAGCTGTGTACTGGTGCCCCCTTGTGGCTGTTCTCAGGGGTGGCAGCTCCCTCAGGGACCCCCGATGTAAGGGGTAGGTTCTGGGCTGGGCTGCTTGAGTCACCCCTTTCTGGGGAAAGAGAAGGCAGGAGGGGGTGTCTCACCAACTTCCACTGGCCTTCAGCAAGTCTCCATGTCAACAAATGCAAAGCTGGTCAGTCCTGAAAGAGGAAAAAGAGAAATGGTAGCTAGTAAGATGGAGCAATTGCTGAGGGGCCGGACCTAAGCCGGGGCGGGGCGCTGGTTGGATCCCCTCATGGGATGTGAAACAGGGGCTCCCAGGTGGTCACGACTCCCCACTGGACGGGGAAGGCAGAGCAGGTCAGAGAGGTTATGTCCTTGCTGGTTTGCCCCATCTGGAGCTTTGAAGTGTCACTATAAAAAGCATTTCAAAAAAAAAAAAAAAAAAAAAAGCATTTCAGGCGCCCTGGCTGGTGTAGCTCAGTGGATTGAGCGCAAGCCTGCGAACCAGGCAATCTCGGTTCAATTCCCAGTCAGGGCACATGCCTGGGTTGCAGGCCAGTTCCCAGCAGGGGGTGCGAGAAAGGCAACCATACATTGATGTTTCTCTCCCTCTCTCCTTCCCTTCCCCTCTAAAGATAAATAAATAAAATCTTAAAAAAAAAAAGCATTTCAGGTAGCAGCAAACCTTATGAAATGAACTGATACACTGGTTCATTTGGGTTGTAAGTTAGGACCAGTTAGGGAAATAAAGGAACAGGAAGGAAGAGAATGAATTGGGGTTGTGTCTGAGGCAGGGGTGTGGGGGAGAAGAGACAGCCACAGGGAGGGTCAGAGCCAGGTCAGGGCACCCCTAGAGGCAGGGGGGAGGAGGGGGGGAGTGGGGGCAGGCAGGGGGGAAGCACTGGGAAGGGAGGGCCCCGCCCCTGCTCACAGGGAGAAGGGAGGCAGACCTGAGCCGCAAACACCTCCCCAGTGAGCTGCCTGCCAGCCCCTCCAGCCTCACCCCTGCGCGCATGGTCCCTCTGTGCCACCACTCAGTTGACACCCCTCTTCTGGTAAGGGTTCTCGGAGGCCGCCTTTTCCCAGGTTTCCTCCCCGCTCCCTGCCTGCGCCCTCCCTGTCCACTCCTCGGGCTTCCGGGCTGGCCAGCACTCCACTTCTGTGGCTTTCACCTCCCGACTCACCGCTGTCCCTGCAGGCCTGCCCTCTTGGGTCTCAGATGCCCGCTCCCACCCACTCAGCCAGCCCTGCCTGCCCCTCACCCCCACCCCGCCCCGTGGCCTCCCCCTGCCCTCCCGGCCAGCAGCCCTGCCTTCCTGCCGACTCCCCTCCCGGCTCTAGAACTGCAGCCTGAGTGTGAGCGGGTCCCACACCCCCACCCTGTTTCGCACCCCTCCCCCAGTCTGTCGCCCACCCACTCCTCCCGAGAATAACCGTGACACCACGCAGGCTGCTTCGCATGCATTGGCTCTGTCTCCCCACGACAGCGGGAAACGTGACAAACCAGGGGACTCAGGAAGACACGACATCAGCGGCACATGGCGTGAGACGCAAGCCGAGCCGCTGTTTGTGTGAACCCGCTCCGGTGCCCCCACAGAAGCTCAGGGCGCGGGGGGGGGGGCAAGGCCACAGCTCTCCTGCATCAGCTTGTGCGCCCCCTGCCCCCTCCCCGAGGTGTGCCCGCCCTCCTCAGCCTCCCCCAGGTGGCTGCTGGCCAAGGGGCCCCTGGCTGAGGCCCGGGCCTCAGGGAAGCCTGCGGAGCAGGCAGAGCAGGGCAGATCCCCACCCGGGCAGGGCAGGGCAGCTGTGGCGGAAGCGCGGCTGCCCCTGCACCTCAGCCAGGCGGCAGTGCGCACCTGGGCCTCTGGGTGCTGTGGGCAGGAGGCACTGGATTACACATGGGGGCTGCAGCCTCCCCTGACGGGGAACCCCCACCCGGGTTCCCGGACTGCCACTCAGCCAGCCCATCGGAGTGCTGCCCACAGGAGAGCCATGGGCTCTCCTTCCTTCATGGCTCTGTATCAAGAGCCCACCTGGGACTCCTGGGTGTGAACCAGGAGGCGTGGCCTCACCTTCTCGGCGGTTCAGAGTCTAGTGGCCCTGACAAACCAACCCAACGGCAAACTGTAAAGAAGGAAGAGGAATGCCACGAGGGAGGGGACCGGCTTTGAGCCGGGAGGCCCTTGTGACGAAGTGACACTTTGCTGAGATCTGGAGGAAGGGCAGAGGTTGGCCATTCTGCGGGAAGGTCATCCAGGTGGGGCTGAGGGACACAGGAGGGCACAGCGCCGCCCCGCTCCTGTTGAACTTATTAGAAGATCATTTCAAATGCACAAAAAGTTACAAAAACAAGAAAGAGTCCAAAGAACAGTGGGTCTTCTCTGACTCCGAAAGAGCCATTTCCTCCCCTTTTTTCTACACATTGATGCAAACACACTTTTTTCTTCTGGACCATTTGAAGGCCAGATATATGTCACAGCTCAGGAGCCTTAATTACTCCTGTATATATATTTTAAAGATTTTATTTATTTATTTTTAGAGAGGAGAAGAGAGGGAAAGAAACATCCATGTGTAGTTGCTTCTCATGCATCCCCTACTGGGAACCCAGCCCACGACCCCGGGCATGTGCCCTGACTGGGAATCGAACCGGTGACACTTTGGTTCGCAGGCCGGCACTCAATCCACTGAGCCACACCAGCCACGGCAAAACTCACATGTATTTCCTAACAGTAGAGGTATTCTGTTTCAAAACCATATGAGTCAAGCTCATCAGTTTGCACTGGACAATGCCATCCTCTACTGTCTCCATCTAATTTTGCCAATAACAACCTTTCCCTCCGCCAAATCCAGGATCCAGTCTGGAATGGGGTATCGACTTTAGCCTCTCCCCTCTCGAACGTGCCTGAGGCTGGCACTGTGCTTCCTCAGCCAGAATACCATCTAGGTGTATGTCTTCTTCAGTGTCACATCTGAAGACGGGCAGCGTCCATCCGCCCTTCATTGGTGATGTCAGTGTTCATCGTCCACTCAAGTTGCTGCCCACTTTCTCCGCTGTCTGGTTACTGGGTTGTTGTTCTGGGCGTTTTTTTCTTTTTCCCTCCCTTGGGACTCCTCAGCAGCACCCTATGGAGACACTCCCGAAACCCATGCAAACGTCCCGCTCGTCATCAGCACAGCTCCCTGGACTTGGCGCCCACTGATGGAACCTTTGCTGTGAAAACGCCGATTTCCCAGTTTCGGCTCATTCCACATCCCACGCCGGGCCCTCAGCATTCTGCTCTCAGCCACAGGACTTCCCTGCAACCGCGGGGTTTTCATTCGTGGCCGTTCGTCACGATGTCGATGCTCAGACCTGGCCCGTGGGACCTCTTCCGGCCAGCCCCCGTGCCCGGTGACACACCCGCAGGCTCGTTCGTGCTTGCGTCACTGTCTCTGCGTCTCAAAGCGCTTTGCCCTCTGTTATTTCCTGGGAATGGAGGACCATGCAGGGTTCGTTCTGGGCAGGCGCTGGGCGTGGCTCTACCTCCAGGGTTACCGTGGCGAAAACGGAGGCCCTCAGAGGGGACGTGGCTCGTCCAGGCTGAGCTGCGAGTTGGCAGACGGGCTGGGCCAGGACTCAGAGTGACAGTGTGCCTAAGTCACACCAGACGAGGACACTTGCCCGGCTTGGACACCTGTGACGGGACAGTCACCCTGCGAGGTGCTTTGCAGACAGAACTGCACGTCATTGCCGCATTTGTGAGTGAGCGTCTCGGAAGGGGCTGCCGAGCCCCCAGGATGCTCAGTGACTGCAGAGCCGTCTACCCAGCAAATGCAGGAGCCGGGGTCCAAGTTCAGGTGGAATGGGATCGAGGGGGCAAGGCCCCGGATCCGGGGTGGAATCCACAGCACGGCCCCAATTTTCAACGCCCGGGTGAGGGTGGAGAGCGGGAGACGTCACCTACCCTGGCCGCCCTCTCCCTGCAGGCTTCCAGGACGTGCACGTGATGATCTTCGTGGGCTTCGGCTTCCTCATGACCTTCCTGAAGCGCTATGGCTACAGCTCCGTGGCCTTCAACTTCCTGCTGGCGGCCTTCGGCATCCAGTGGGCAGTGCTGATGCAGGGCTGGTTTCACTCCTTCCACAACGGCTACATTCTCGTGGGCGTGGAGAAGTGAGTGGTAGGGGCGGGGCCCTGGAGGGGCGGGGCCTAGGGCGGGCCTAGGGGCGGGGCCTAGGGCTTGGGCTTTGTGCCCACTCCTCCTCATCCAATCAGGATCCATTGGGCCTGTCTCTCTCTTTCTCTCTCTCTCCCCCCTTCCTGCTTCTTGAGTCCCTAGGATGGGAGTTCTCACAGTGTCCACGCATCACAGGGAGGGTCTCCCTGCCCCTAAGTTTAAGGCTGCAGAGACACCTCAGTGTCTCCTGTCCAGGGGCCGCCACTGGGTCCTCCATGCAGACACGGGGGAGGGAATTGCCTCGAGAAACCCCAGTCCATGGGCCCCTCCCGGACCTGTCCCCCCACAGCCTCATCAACGCCGACTTCTGCGTGGGCTCCGTCTGTGTGGCCTTTGGGGCGATTCTGGGCAAGGTCAGCCCCATCCAGTTGCTCATCATGACTCTCTTCCAAGTGACCCTCTTCTCCGTGAACGAGTTCATCCTCCTCAGCCTGCTGAAGGTGCCTGGGGGGCAGAGGAAGAGAGGGCTGGGGGGGACCTGCCAGCCAGATTCAATTCAGTCTTGGCAAATCTCCTGACCTTCTGCACCCCACTGTGTCCACCTCGGAAGTGGGAGCAGCCTTGGGTTGGGCGTATTTCCTGTGGCTTCTCTCCGAGATCGGCACAGTTATTACCCCCATTGTACAGATGGGCAAGCTGGGTCGCAGAGGGGTTAGGGGGCTCATCCAAGGTCACACAGCTAGAAGTGTCCGCGGGCTGTGTCAGCCAGCTCTGTGACCTGAGGTGGCACATGGCCTGCTCTGGCTGGGCGTGCCCTGCTGAAAGACTGCTCTGAGCGGGGGGGAGCAGGGGGCTGAAGAGACGGGGCGGAGGGGGACAGGGAGGAAAGCTAAGTCAGCGAAGCACCTGTCAAGTGTGAGGCGCTTCACACAGGTGGTCCAGGTGTATCCTTGAGGTAGCCCTGCTAGGCCACTACGGTCACCCCCCACCCCCTTGTAAATGAGAAACTGAAATCCTCTGGCCAGGAGAGGAGGGTGGGGGTGGGGTGGACAGCGGGAAGTTAGCTGGGAGGTGGGGGGCAAGGAGTGGGAGAGGATGCAGGAATGCGGGTCGCTGCAGGCTCCGTGGGCGGTGCTGGGCCAGGAGCACGTGTGTGGCAGGGAGCCTGGGGAGGGGACGCCCAGAGGACAGGAGAGCTCCCCAGAAGTAAGAGAAGGTGAAAGCCAGTGGGGGGCAAACCAGATGCAGGGTTGCCCTGGGTTCTTGCCGTGCTTCCCTCTTCCAGCTGCGTAACGGCACAAGAGGCTCCCGACCCTGGACTCCCTGCCCCCACCTGTCACGCGGGTGAGGGTGACCGGGGTTCAGGGATCTCTCCTTTCTCCCCTTCCCAGTGGGTTGGTCTGTGGAGACCCCAGGCTCCATCCAATACCAGTCAGGTCAGAGACGGTGCAATGTCATCAGTGGACAGCAGGGGGCAGGGGGGAGCTGTCCCAGCCTGACAGGCCCCTTGTCCCCAAGGTGAAGGACGCAGGGGGCTCCATGACCATCCACACATTCGGGGCCTACTTTGGACTCACGGTGACCTGGATCCTCTACCGACCCAACCTGTCTCAGAGCAAGGAGAGGAACGGTCCTGTGTACCACTCGGACCTCTTTGCCATGATCGGTGAGAGCGGCCCCAACCACTGAGGGCCACCTTGATGACCAAGGGCCCCCAGAATAGAGGTCACCCCTGAACCCTTCCTGGATCCCAGATGCCCGGCCAGTCCCCCCGCACTTTCCCTCGGTTGCTGCAGGGCAGACACAGCAGTACCCCGGCCGGCGCTCAGGCAGGGTGTGCGATCCTACTTCCCACTCTGGGCTCTTCAAACATTCAAGGAGCTCCTCGCAGTGTCACGGAAGCAGGGACAGTGCCCCCAGATAATCTCCCTCCAGTGGAGAGAAAGTCTGCCCCTCACGGCACAGTGGGAGCAGGGGGGAGAGGCGTGTGGCCCAGTTGTGGGGTCAGGGCCGACCTCCCGGAGCAGAGTGGAAGGCTCAGTGGGAGGCAGGCAGCGAGCAAGGCAGGGAAGTCCTCAGGGGGAGAGACCCCAGCACGAGTAAGGTGACAGGGGCAAAAACAGCTGGGCGTGGGAGTCATTTGACATCCCTGGAGCTAAAGGACCCAACTAACGCCTCCCCCGGGGCCCACGGGCCCTCTGCGGCCTAGCCAGGCACCCTTTTCCTGTGGATGTACTGGCCCAGCTTCAACTCGGCTGTGTCCGACCACGGAGACGCCCAGCACCGCGCGGCCATCAACACCTACTGCTCCCTGGCAGCCTGTGTGCTGACTGCAGTGGCGCTGTCCAGCGCCCTGCACAAGAAGGGCAAGCTGGACATGGTGAGCAGGGGCAGGGGTGGGGCAGTGGGACCCTGGGGAGGCCCCTGTGCCGGTGCGTAGGAAGCTCCCCGCCCACCAGCAGCTCAGCGAGGCAGGTAGCCGAGGGGTCATAAGAAACTGAGTCTCAGGCAGAAACGATTCGTTGGGTTGCAGCAGAGCCCAGGACTGGGCTCTTGGACATGCCATCGAGCAGGCTGCTCTAGAACAGCTAGGCCCCGCTGCCCCTCCTCCTGCAGCCCGAGGGGCTGGCAGCTGTTCTGGGCTGAGCTCCGCATCAGGCCTGCCCGGCAGGATGGCCAGGGCACCTCTCCTCTGCAAGACACTGGCCCGCAGCCCTCTCAGGCCTGCCTGCTGTGCCCGCCCCGCCCAGGTGCACATCCAGAACGCCACGCTGGCCGGCGGGGTGGCCGTGGGCACCGCCGCGGAGATGATGCTCATGCCTTACGGCTCCCTCATCGTCGGCTTCATCTGCGGCATCGTCTCCACCCTGGGCTTTGTGTACCTGACGGTGAGGGCCCCGGGCGAGGGGCGGGGGACTGAGGGAGGCTGGGGCTCTGGGTTTGGGGTCCCTGCCCGGCCAGGACTCCCGGCCTGAGCGGCGCCTGTCTCCCCTCTGCAGCCGTTCCTGGAGTCCCACCTGCGGATCCAGGACACGTGCGGCATCCACAACCTGCACGGGATGCCTGGCATCATAGGCGGCATTGTGGGTGCCGTGACAGCGGCCTGCGCCACCACATCCGTGTACGGACAGGAAGGGTAAGTATGGCCCAGATGCGGGGGAGGGGAACTCCGTCCCCCCCACCCCCGCTACTGTGCCTCTGGGGTCCAAGACTGTGTCTCCATCCTGGTCTCCCCCCACTCTAGACGACTGTTTTTCATGGGCCCCTCTGCCCACCCTTGTCCTTCCACAGGAGTCTGAGACCAGCTGATCTGTCTGCCCAATGCTCTCATTTTGCAGATGGGAAGGCTGAGGCCCAGGGTGTGTTGAACACTGGTGCCCGCTCACGTTTTTGACCGCGTGGCAGCATTTGGCTCCTTGGCCTCTCTGTGGGGCCCTGACCTGTCCCCTGTCTCCACCCCAGGCTGGCCCATGCCTTTGACATTGAAGGTTCTAACTGGTCCGCAAGCACTCAAGGCGGTTTCCAGGCCGCAGGCATCTTCGTGTCCCTGGCCATGGCCCTGGGGGGCGGTGTCATTGTGGGTAAGTGAGAATGGCTGGGTCAGAGAAGGTGGAGCCGAGGTGGGGTTTGGTGGTTGGGGAACCCCAAAGTCTGTAGCAGGGGCCAGCCGGGAGCTACCAGGAACCCTCTGTCTCTGCCCTGACGCCGCAGGACTGGAGAGACATCCCCAGCAGCAGGGACACGCTGGGTGCACAGAGAGGAAGTAGGTCCTGACCTCTTGTGACCTCCAACTTCCTTTAGGATGCATTTTGAAATTGCCCATCTGGGGACAACCCTCTGAAGAGAACTGCTTTGAAGATGCCGTGTACTGGGAGGTCAGTTCCACGGGCTCAGCCCCCTGCACCAGGACAGTGGCCTCCCCACTGCCTAGACCCCACACATGCATGGCCACTGGGCTGGCACCTGGGGGGACCAGAGGCTGAGGGTTGGAGACAGGGGCTGCCTCACCTTGCTCCTACACCGGGTGGCCGCATCTCCCGAGGGCTGCAGGCTTTCATCTGGAGCAGTCATTCCCGAAGCGTGGTCCCCCATCAGCATCCCGTGGGGACTTGCCCCCACATCCAAACCTCAGGGTGGGGGCATGTCTGCCTCCCAAGCCTGTGCCCGGACACAGACCCCGAGCCCGTGCTGGGGGCCATGCTGCCTTTGTGACAGGAGGCACCTCCTTCGGTCTCTGGGCCAGGGTGGCCGGGTGCCCGTACAGAAATCCACCTTGGAAAACCCTTCTAGAAGCTGAAAGCAGTGGGGTGTCTTTTAAAACATGCCATGACTGGGGCTTCCCATGATGTCAGGCAGTCCCGCCTCCCCACACATGGTGATGGGGGTGTTTGCCTGTGTTGGGTGGTGGACGAGGGCAGAGGGCCCTTCCCCGTCTCCTGCACTCCCTCCCGCCCCCCCCCCCACAAGATGTGGCCTGCCCAGAACTGTCTGGCATTTGGCTGTGTGGTGCTAAAGCCATCCCCAGGTCTCTAGGGGCAGTTTTAACCAGTGTCCACCCTAAACCAGTGTCATGTACATAACGAATACACCTGTTTAAACCACTCCCTTTAAATTATTTTTTAATTTTATTTGTTGACTGTAGGGAGGGAGAAAGAGCGAGAGAAAGAGAGAGATTTGTTGTCCATTTGTTGATGCATTCACTGGTTGATTCTTGTATGTGCCCTGACCAGGGATCAAACCCACAACCTTGACCTATCAGGACGACACTCTAACCAACTCAGCTACCCGGCCAGGGCCTCTAAATTCTTTCTTTAAATTATAAAATGAATAGAAGCTCGTGAAAGAAAATCTGGACATAAAGAGAAATGGAAAGAAATCCCATCATCCTAATTCAAGCACTGTTAATATTTTTTAGTATATTTCCTTCCAGTTTTTTTTCTGACAGCGCTGAGAAGACATTATACACCCAGTTTGGTAGGCTGTTCCTTCCCTTTATCTCTTGTCAGAAGCGTTCCGTGTTACTAATTCTTAATAAACGTCCTTTCTTGGCAGCATAATTATTTGCATGCTGTATTTAAAGTCAGAACCTAAACTATTTTAGACGCCACGATTACAAAGGAAACAAATGAAGAAAATGCCTTCGTTCCCACCGGTAGACGTTTCGCGTTAGGTTCTGCTTTGCTCTTTATCATCCAATTCTAGTAGGTTCACACCTTCTCTCTGCAGAAAACCCCGCAGCGGCAGTCATTTTTGAGGAACAGAATTCTGTGCTGGAGAAAGTGCGCGCTAGCAGCCTGTCCCCCGGCTGTCCACTGTCTGTCCCCTGCCCTGGCCTCTGGGCGGTTTCCCTGACAGACGCGTCCCCGAGGGGGTCTGCTTTCTGCCACAGAGCACGCACCACACACCTTTCAAAAGTGGGTTCGGCGCAGCCAGAATCCCCCCCCCCAGGCTGGGTTACCAGCCTCTTGAGCGCATTTGGGACGTTCGTCATTGTCCCTTTCACTCCAATGCCTTCCCAGTGTTCCAGCCGGGCGAGGGCTCTGGTCCTGGCAGGGTCCCAGCACCCTGGACAGTGGCGTAGGTGAAGTAGGGGCGGGGCCCAGGGTGCAGGACGACCCTGCTCCTCCGTGCGCAATCTGCATGGTGACCGCTAGGTGGCGCCCGCCACACACCATGTGCGACTCCTGACTTCCCCGGGCTGCTCTCGTTCCACTCGGGCGCCAGCCCAGGCCGGGCCGAGCTCTCAGAGCTGCCTCCTCCCTCTGCAGGTGCCCGAGGAACATAAGAACGAAGCCTTACATCCTGAGGACTCTACCCTCAAGCCCTCAGAACCTTAAGCTCCCAGAGCGGGCGAGAGACAGGTAAGCATGAGTGTGGCTTGCCAGGTTCTCCCAGGGGGAGAGGTGCCCAGCTCTGGGGATCAGATGCCCCCAGCAAAGGGGCAAAGAGAAAGCACCGAGAAAGGAGGATGTGAGCGTCCCCCGTCCTCCTGTCTGGGGTGGCGCGGGCCGGCTGGGGTTGGTGGGAGAGACGCTCAGTCAGGCTGCCTGCACCCTGGACAGACACAAGGGCACGTGGACGGCCCACTGGGCTTGCTGCCTACTGGCCGCGGGACTTGGAGGGTCTCTTCCTCCCCAGAGACTGAGTCTCATTTACTAAAGTGGAGACGACAGGACTGGCTCTATTCAGTTGATCAACTCAAGCAAGACCCTTCCTTCCTAGATTTTATTTATTTATTTTTAGAGAGGGAAGGGAGGGAGAAAGAGAGGAAGACCTCAGTGTGTGGGTGCCTCTCACATGCCCCCTACTGGGGACCTGGCCTGGAACCCAGGCATGTGCCCTGACTGGGAATTGAACCAGTGATGCTTTGGCTCACAGGCTGGTGCTCAGTCCATTGAGCCACACCAGCCAGAGCACTTCCTTCCCATTGATAGGCAAGGGAATTAAGGCTCAGAGAGGGGTTCAGGGTTACAAGGTCAAGGAGCTGGCAGGTGGGTGAACTGGGATCTTTCCAGGCCATCCGTCATTGCCCCTATTTGACCTCCTGGAGGTGGGAGCTTGGGAGGAGCTGTGTCTGGGGCGAAAGGCTGAATGTCCTGGCAGGAGAGGACGCGGGGGTTAAGGAGACGGGAAAGTGAGGCTCTGACCAGTGGCTGCAGCTGGCTCACCCCACTCACGAAGGGAAAGGTGCCCGAGGGCCTATAGCAGGAGCTGACAGCGGCCCCTGCTCTTGGCTGTCTCCCTGCAGGCTCCACCGACTGCTTTGGTGTTCTAGAAGGAGCCGGTGCTGGCCAGGCTGGGCACACAAGGACAAGGGGAGCAGTACCGGCCTGCTGGCCTGGCCCAGGGGGCCACCACCCTGCCCTCCCCCTTCATCCCAGGGGGCCTGCCTGAGACCGGAGAAGGAGGAACTGAAGATGAAGTGGGTGTTCAAGCCACTTCAGCTGCAGGAGGCCTGCCGCCGGGGGTCTTCGTGGCCTCATCCTAAGAAGAGGAGGCCGGAGGGGGTGCTGGGCCTGGAGGCAGACCCCAGCTCTCCTGTGTGACCACTTGGCGGCCAGCCGCCCGCTGCCGGGCTCTCGGCCTGCACGCCCCAGGCCCCCCGGCCCCCAGACCTCTCTGTGCTATGTGCTAAGGGCAGCTGCTGTGAATAAACCATGTTCTTTGTAAAATGGGTGCGAGTATTCTAACGGCCAGTCTCAGGGTGAACAGGACACAAGGGTCAGGGCTCCCTGCCCCAGTCCTCACCTCCCACCCCGAGCTGCTCTCTGCTTTGTAAGGGTAAGGCACCCCAGGCTGCTGAGGAGGAATTTGGGGTGCTGGAGCCTGCTGCTACCTGGAGCCCCCTGGCAAGGCTCAGCTTCAGGGCCTGGGCATTTCCCCAAAGCCCCTCCTTACTGCATAGCGACCACCCCAGAAACTCACCCTTTGTGAGACCACCCTGCCCCCTGAGCCCCCAGCATGACCCAGCTTCCAGGGCACGAGGTGGGGAGGGCCTTTTGGGGCCGATCTCCTTTTCCCCGCCATTCCCTTCTCCCTCCTAGCCAGGCAGGCCAGCTCCACTCGCCCTCCACAGCAGAGGACGGTTTCATCAGTTTAGGTCTCCCACCGCTTAGGCCTGCCCACCACCCTGGATGGAGTAACACACAGGTGCCACCCTCAGGGGCCTCATGGTCTAGCTGAGGGACCCCCTGCACCCAGTATCCACCCTGACCCGCCTTCAGTGCCCAGGAGGCTTCCCAGAGTGGGTCACCTGGGGAGGGCTTGGGAGGCTGAATAGGAGTTCACCAGAAGGCTGGCAAAGCGACAGCTTGGGCCGAGACCCAGGGATGGGAATCAACATGGCGAGGTTGAGTTTGCCTAAAGGAGAGGTGACAGGTGATGTAAAAGCATGCCACCTGGAGAAGAAGAGGCAGAATGTGGACCCTTTGAGGAGCAAAGACCCCAGGGAAGAAGGGGTGAGGGGAAAGGGAGGGCGGGGTCTTTCCTGACTGCAATCTGCCCTCCCTACCCTCCTCACTATTCACACGCACACACGCACACACACTCTCAGGCCTTGGCTCCCTTTGCCAGGGGAGGGGGCCCGGAGGAGGAGGAGGAGGAGGAGGAGGAGGAGGAGGGGAGGGAGCTGAAATGCAACCTATTCATGTTCCCGCGAAGTAACACCCCTCATTTTCCATGCTGGGTAAAGACAAAAACCCTTTACAACCTGTTTCTGGAACTTGTCAGCAGCTGCCAAGAGGAGCATGTTAATTAAACGTCGGCAAAGATGGAAGCCGGAGGCCCCGGCTCTAATTGGACAGTTTGCTTCACCGGATTGGAAAACATTGTGACAAAGGAGGAGGTGTGCAGTGCTCGGCAGGGGGCGGCGTGCTGGGGAGGGGCCCTCGCTTTGATTTCAGCTGATGGGGCGCCCGCCTCGCCGGGCACGCCCACAGAGGGCCTGGGAGGGGCCCGCGGGCCAGGGAGAGGGACAGCGGGGAGGGGGGCCCCCGCCGACCGGCGGGCAGGGGCAGCCAGCTGTCCCCTGGTGGTGCTTGGCTTTGGGGCAGGGGCAATGTTGGGGCTCACTGTGCCCCTGTTGCCCAAACTGCCTCTGGGCCACGGGATCAGGGCCGAGGCCTTAAACTCGCTGGGTCGTGGGCAGAAACCTGCCCAAGGGTCCTCGCCGAGCTGTGCTGAGCCTGGAGTTGCCAGCAGGGCGGCAGGGGCACACCCCGAGACGGTCCCCCAAGCCGCGTGTCCGATGGCTGTCTCCCAAGTCCCCTCCTGCTTCTGAGGCACAAAGGAGGCGCTGGGGACCTTGCTGAGTGCCTTCCCTGCCCTGCCACACCACCTCCCAGCCACCCTGAGAGGCAGAGAGAGAGAGAGAACCCCTATCCCACCCATCTCGCAGGCCCACAGAGGACAAAGAACCCGTCCAAGGTCACAGTGTCACCCAAAGGGGTGCCAGGGTGAGCCCGCTCCCTCCGACCCCGATGCCGGGCCCCGGGCTTCATGCTGCGGGCTCTCTGGCTCCTGGCCCAGCCAACACGGCCAGGTCTAGAGGCTGGTAGGGAAAAACCATTCTCAGGGGAAAGCACCCTTCTCAAGCCCTCCAGGCAGAGGGGCCTGAAAGGTGGGGGTGCAGCAGGTGGGGGTGGGGGGCCACTCAGGACCCAGTTGCATCTCCTGGGGCAGCTGTGCTGAGCTAACAGGGCAGAGCTCCCCCTGATCCCCTTCCGCGTCACCCCCACCTACGCTCCCCCTGCTCTGTGGCTTAGGATGCTCCGTTTGGGCCGGGAGGCCGGGCAGGGGCCCAGGAGAGCGGGAGCAAGGATGGGAAAGGGGCCACCGTGGCTGAGACCGAGGATTAAGAGCCACAGAGTGAATGAGGGGGGGTGGCCCGAGCAGCCTGTGCTTGGCTGTGTCCAGGCTGCTGGCCGGGGCCTAATCCCCTGGGAGCTGCAGCCCGGGGAGGCCCGGAACTACAGCTGCTGTGGGGAGAAGGCCGCCCTGCTGGGCGGGCAGCTGGTCCTAGGTGCTCAGGGTGGCGGCTCTGAGGGGGGCCAGGGGGTGGGGAGGTGTGCCCAGGGGGGTGAGGGTGCATCTGTGGCCCCGGCCTGGGTGGGGTGTCTCTGTGGGACCCTCTGAGGACAGGTGACCCAGGGTGCTGGGGGCAGCGTCGGCCCCTGCACGTCCGAAGGTTAGGGCCTACCTCGGGGGTGAGGGGGGCTCAGGCAGCGACGAGGACTGCTCAGGGGTCCCTGCCCTGCCGAGGAAAGAGGCGGCACCCCCTCCAGCAGGCCCAAGTGGGTGCTCTGTGTGTGTGCGTGTGCAAATTCCCGCGCACGCACCATCAAGCGGGGTGCTTGAGAATGGCCCTTCAGAGCCGGCTGGAAGGGCTCTGCAAATTGTAATCAGATTAAGGGGGCCAATCACTTAGGGCTCTTGAAAAGGCCACAAGGCTTCTAATCAGCCCTGCGTGCCTGGCCCACAAAGCCTGGGAGGAGCTCGGCGGGAGCCACCCGCCGGGGGGCCGTGGGGCGGGGGCCGCTTTCTTTCCTCTCTGTCTCTCATAATTATGTCAATTTGCTAGCCAAATTGTTTGCTCGAGTGGACAGGGGGGCTTGTGCCCCATTCATGTGGTAATGTGGGAACCGCAGGCCTCCTGGCTGGGAAAATAGGAGGTTCCAGGACCCTTCTCCAGGGAGCAGGCAGGCCAGGGGCGTGGGGGTCCCAGGCCTTGGGAGTCCTCACCCGGTGTGGGGCTTTTCTTCCCCCCCATGAATTCCAGAAACATCCAGCTTGGGTTGTGCTCGGGGATGTCCTGCGGGGCCTGTTGAGTTGAAGGACGGGGAAGGAGGCAAGGAGCCCCAGGAGGGCAGAGAGGTGGCCTGCAGGCTCCTTCGGGGTGAAGGTGGACGGCTCTCATGCCCGGTCCCACCTGGGCCAGGCTGGGGCTGGAACAGTTTGGGAGCAGCCTGGGAGACTTCCGGGAGACGGGGTCCTGAAGGGGGCAGAGTCCCCACCCGCATGGATGGGCTGAGGCGGGAGAAAGTTCTCATCAGTCATCCTGATCCTTTAACAACAATCGGGGGGGCAGGTACGGGGCTTGCCATCTCACGGATGAAGAAAGTGAGGCTCAGAGAAGCTAAGTGACTTGCCCAAGGACACACAGCCACGGGAGTCCGTCCCTTCCTCTAAGCAGCGATCGGGAAGCACAGGGGATGCAGGGGACTAAGGTGGCCGGGGTTTGGTGGGGGGGCAATGTCATGGGGACCCCCATGCTGGCACGCTGTGGGTTTTGGGGGGTAATTTAATTGTGTTTTGCAGCCCCTTGGCCTGGTCCTTTCATCAGTTTGACAGTATTTGCTGGCAGTGTCTCTAAGTCAGTGGTTCTCAGAGTGTGGTCCAGACCCGCAGCACCACCACCCCTGGGGACCTTGTTAAAAGAGCAAAACCTGCCCCGGCTGGTGTGGCTCAGTGGGCTGCGGGCCAGCCTGCGAACCAAAGGGTCACCGGTTCGATTCCCAGTCAGGGCACTTGCCTGGGTGGCGGGCCAGGTCCCCAGTAGCGGGTGCGGGAGAGGCAACCACACACTAGTGTTTCTCTCCCTCTCTTTCTCCCTCCCTCCCCTTCTCTAAAAATAAATAAATAAATGTCTTTAAAAAGAAATGCAAAATCCTTGAGTCCTTGCTACCCCAGCCTCCTGAGTCCGAAACTGAGAGCTGTTCTGTCTCCCCTGTTCCTGCTCCAGTTTGAGAATGGCCCCCGCCCCTTGAAGTCACCTTATTCCCCTGGTGACGGACCTTCCAGGTGTTTTAGTGTTTCCAGCGTCTGGTTATTAAAACGTGCGCTACAGTAGCCCCTTGACCTGTGAGGGGTGCCCCGGGAGACCGTTCCTTCCCTCTCGAAGCGCTCTCGGGCAGCGGGCCCCAGGCGCCCTTCCAAACCCGCTGCGGACGCCGCGTCTAAATTCCACCTGCGTGGCACTGCACCCCGCGCCTGCTCGACTTGGGAGAGGACCGGCGTCCTGACGGTTTGGAGCTTCCCCAGCCAGTGTTGAAACTCCGCAGGGTTGGAGGCGTCCTTCACATAATTACACACGATTTAGGCCAGCTTCGTGGTCACCAAGCACACCAACCGCGGGAGGCCTTAGGACGGCCTCCTCCTTTCCCCGAATTTCATGAAACTAAGGACACAGTCTCGAAGGCTGGAGCATCCTATCACCTCGCTCTTCTTGCCGACGCCTTCTTTCTCACGTTGGCCTCTTTGTTGTGATTCTGTTAAGCTCGTGTCCCTTTTGGGGAGCGAGCATATCTTTCGCAGAAGTCCCCCCGTGTTTCATCCTCCGCGCCCTTTCCACCGACAGGTGGGGTCGGCGCCCTCCCCCTGAAACTGAGCTTGGTGACCGCTGGACCGACCGAACAGGACAAAAGGGCCGCTGAGCCAGTTTCCAGGGCCCGACCTCAGGAAACGAACCGCTTCTCCTCCCCGTCTCTTGGGGACACGTGCTCTGGGAGCCCAGCTGCCATGTCAGGGGAAGTCACCCGGGCCCGTGACTGAGCCCCAGGGCGGACGCACCTGCGCCTACCCGCTGACACCGGAGACCAGGGCCCC